TTTGAATGTTTTAAAAATCTCAGTTGGTTTTATCCGTGATATTTTTCTTTATTGTTCTGCAGTAATGAAACATTTATAATAAATTTTACGTAATTATAGGATTTAACTGACTTAAACACTTTAAAAAATTTATGTAGAATTGTTTTACAAAAGTATTTTATTTATATAAGAAATATAAATTTTTAAGTATTATTCTTTATCAACTATTTCTGCAATCACAATTACGTACATCATAAAAGAAAGATCGGAAATATCGGATTATTCTGAATCATTTAACACCACTCTTTTCAAAGATTTCCATTTCATTCCTCTTTTACATCGTGTTATGATTTACACGATGGTTTCTCGAAAGCAACCTTTGAACAAATTTATCGGCGGAAATTCACTTATGCGGACAACCTGTTCGTTTATGAGAAATCCTGCGCGTGCTGTCGGCGAGATACGACGAACAATAGAGTCTCTCTTCGTGTATCCGATCGTGCGCGGTTATACGTCGCGCGGCCAGCGTAAAACTTCACCTATGCCGCGCGACGGGCGCACGTGTGCCTGCATGTTGCACACACCAAGACATCCATTGCGCATATAATGTCGCCGTTTATGCCGCGCACGTGCGCGGAACAGCTGCATTTTAAAATCACGGATTTCGCCGCGCGATTTGTCAGGGAACACGCGTGCGACAAGTCACCTTACTTACGCTCGCGTCGTCGTCGTCGACGCGAATCCAAAATTTCTTCGTCACATTTCCGTATGTACCGCTTCCATTGACAACATCAATTTTATTCTACGAGGACAATCAGTTCTTTGCATTGACTATTTTATAAGAAATATATGATAAGACGCTCTGAAATGAATGGAATATAATTATATTATATACATCTGAATTGTAGACTCTGTTAACTTTTTCTATTTGATTTATGATTTAAATATCACTTGTATATTTCATCCTTTTTTTACAATCTACTCTCTGCAATTATTGAGTGTGCATATATTTTTGAGAGAAATAACACATTTATGTAATTAAATAAAAGATTATATTATTGTAATTCCGCGAAATTTTACATACATCAAACATTTAAAACATATTTAAAAATTATTTTATTTTATTTTCTTATATAAATATTGCAAGTTATTTTTTTTTTAAATAAATGTAATTTTTTAATGTAGTCGAATTGCACCTGATATCAGAATTAATAGTAATTAAAAGAAAATTCCTTTTTGCATTTTCTCTTGCATAGCAATATTAAGCTACATCGTGTTAAAATATACATTGAAAATATATAAAATTATTTACAAGCAGTGCTTTAAATATTGCATCCAGATTAGCAGAGAGGAACTCACATAAATTATGTATAGCAAGATTTGCGTTACTAGTTCACCAGTTTTGCATTTTGTTGTAAATACAATTTACGAGCGAATTCTCACCTTAAAGCCACTTCACGATTATCGCTCGAAGTTAAAGCTCGTCAAGTATGGCTACATTCTTTGGCGCTTGAACATCTTCTTTGAACTGCAAACTTTTATTTGCGCACAAGTGTATGTCAGCGTAAATTCTGAGCGACCCGTGTTTTCTTACAGATCCACTTGGCCGAATACGTGTCTAAATAAGAAAGTTGTACCAAACGTCTGCACACCTGGTCAAGAGGGTAGAATAAAGCAGGACGAATAGGCACTCTCGCACAAGCTTGGAGGATCGCGCTGTCAAACAGAGAACTCATTGGTTACGTGCGGCTACAATGTAAGTCTTTCTGTTTATCCATATGTTTGACTCGTATTCAATTGTTGTGCTTTATATTGCTAGGCAGAAATGGAAATTTACTCCAGGTAAAGAGCATCTTTGAGTACACCGCAGCAATATATAATCCTTTTTAATATTTAAACAATTTAATCACAGTATTCTCTTGAATTTTGCATCATGCAATTCTTATGCATTTTTAAAATATGATATATTTATCGATTATTGTTTCAATAATTAATGTTGAAAAGCAACATGGATTAATTCACCTGGCTATAGCATTTCTGAATGGCGGTGCAATCAATTTTGCATGTAACAATAAATACACAGGATTCACTAATGTCTTAGCGATAAAAACATTAGGTTAATTATACCATTCTGGCATCTGATGTCTCTTTCCGCTTTGCAACCGGCAAGGTCGGCAATTTGCTTTCTAAGATTTTTTATAAGACTTTTTGTTTTCTAACACAGAACAGTATCCAATTAAAAAGTATCGTTATCCATAAATAAATGAAGGATTTTTTGCCAAGCAATCGACGTTCTTTTGAGCGAGACTGTCGTCGGGATTTAACAGTGTTGTCTCGTTTTTTTTCATTCTGCTTGCGCAACGACAAACGGGCGGGTACATTTTACGCCTTCGTTCTGATGTTTTTCCGTCTTTTTGTTTCCGTAAGGCGCGCTCGTCACTGTAATGCTAGAGCCGTTACCGCACGAGGCCTTTCATCGAAATAAATATACCGGAAGCAGCGAGACGGTTTTATATGGAATTGGCGGGGGCCCCACTCTGCTTGTACCGGGCGTTTATCTCGCTTTTGCGGTAGAATGGCTCGGCCTGAGTGCCTTAGGAACGTCAAAGACCTTAAAACGTTTCGATCTTCATGCGCGCGTGTTTCCTTACGCGCCTTCGAAACAGTAATCTATGCAGTTTCTCTTTTATGGGATTTATTTATCCCTGTTTCTGGCGATTATAGTTTTAGCTTATTTTCAATTTTTTTAAAGTCATGCTTATTAATATACAATCATACTCATATATGTCTATTAAAATACGAACTCATATACTATTCAATATATTAGCTAAATATGTTACTATTTGCGTAATCACCGCGATTTAATCATTTTTTGTTTAAAAAGAAATCACTGAGTTTTTTTTAATAAAAACTTTATAAAACTGAAGCAGCTATGTAGGTAACATTAAAAAATGTAATGTGTTATTTTATGCGCCCCGAGAGGAAATTATTTATCAAATCTCGCGAAGTACCGTCGAAATCTTTTACGTGAGTTTCATAGTAGATCAAATATTCTACCAGGTTGAGCTAATTCTCTCTTATTCTACCAGGATGATTTCTATCCGCCGTTTTTTGCGATGTTTGAGTGATTATTGAGTGCAGTTATTCTGTCATTTGATTAACTTTTATAGAGATACAAGTAGAGATTAAATTAGCTATACAAATCTTATTTTTTTATATTATATTTTATATGATTTTGTGAATTTAAAACACCATTTTTCACTTATGCCACACTTTTTCTCTAACTTTTAATTTTTTTTAATTAGAATTAATTATGGAGAAAGATTTATGTGGCTATATATAGCTGCTAAAAACAATCCTCGAGATAAGTTAACCCTCCTACACTCTACTGGTCTCGAAATGTACACACATAAAGTGGACTTGAGGTTTAACCGCGCTGACCGCAGGGTGATTTCGCGAATTCGCACAATGCGAGCTTTCTGTCACAATATTCCCAATTTTCACATTCTGGCGTGGTAACAGCATATGATACTTATAACGCTGTTTGAATGTTGTATGGCAAATTTGAAATTTTACGCTATTTTAAAGTTTTATCATTATAATTGCGGGCATCATTATCAATTATAAAAATCATTATTAATTATAAAAACACACAGAGGCGCACTTTGATAAAAAACACACAGAGACATATATAAAACAAAATATATATTATTAGATGAGTATCAAGTATTTTAAGGCTACTCATTCTTTGCAATTCATTATAATGATAATTTTATTAGTTCAGATTTTTAAATCTTTAGCAGTAATAAAAATTTAACGAGAAGGATGAAGTTAAATTTAACAGCGATATAAATCGAAACAGGACTTATTTGCAGTTTCTTTATAATTTTGTAGTAAAAATAGTATAATTATAGGATAAAAATATACCGAGAAACAATCTTGATTTTTTCCAAAAAAATATATTTATCGAGATTGCCCCTCGTTGTATCTTTTTATCTGATGTCATAATCATATTTCTTTGTTACTATAAAATAATGAGCAAATTGCGAATAAGTTCTTTCTATTTATGTCTTTGCTAAATTCAGCTTTATTATATAAATTTATCATTATATATATATATAAAATTATATACATCTTTTTAATATTATAATATTATCGATAATAATAAAGCTGAAAATTTAGCAAAGATATGTATGTATATATAACTATTTTTACAAGTCAAGAATTAGAGCATTTTATATTTGCATTATTTTTCTCCAATTGTGTGAGATCCATATAACTTACAAAACTCTCAAACTGTGTTAACTGCGCTTCCAACGGTTGGTTAGGTACCAAGACCATGAAGAAAGCATGGTTTGCTAGCTATGACAGATATAAACTAAATTACGCGCCGAGTGACGGATGGTCTCAGATTCTTGCTGCGATTCCCGCAGAGCGGAATACAAAACATCGCAGCCTGAAAACATCCTTCGTAACCGTAGATTCTATACACGATTATCGCTCGATTTTCACCAGCTGTTATATTATCTTCCTCCTTCCTTTTCGAAGGAAAAGAGCACGAATCAGGAAAGACAAAGCAGCGTGTAAAAAACGAATTGGAGACTCGTTTGATCATTGCGACTTTGCGGATTATGCTTTCTCTTCTCCGTGGGAATCCCCGTCTTTTACCCCTTCACCCGTCGTACCTCTTCCCCTCTTCTCGTTCCTCTTGCGTCGCTGCGCGGTTCTACCATCCCTCCGGGCAGCACTTTATTCCACTCTCGCCCCGACGTGAAGTGGGTGGCCGCGGGGTCGATGGGTGCATAGGGGCGAGCGCGGTGGGATGCGGTGGCACCGCGTGGGAGTTGAGTGTGGCGTTCTCCACGGGGGTGGCACGGGTGGGTTGAGAGTGGGGAGGGTGAATGGGGGCGGGAGGGGTAGACAATCGTCTCCCCTCCGCATCCCCCACTTTGCACCACACCGCACGGGCGCCAACGTCAAGCGCTTTCGAGACGTTAAGGCCGACACTCGCGTCGCGCACCTCGGCCCGACGACATCGACCGGAGTCACCTGCGGATACACGTGCGGTTTCAGGATAGCCTACGATCAGGCAGGGTCATAGCGACCGAAACGATCACAACCGCTGTGAATCACGAGATAATCGCGATCGCTTCTCGACGACCGGCCGACAATCTCGATTCTTATCCGCGCGTTTGTCCTCGCCTCGCGCATTGCGAATCGCTCTCGACGACACGTGTCTCGCGACAGTTATGTGCACAGCGCGGCGAGAAGGAGGGTGAAGTGTTCAGATACATATTTGTAAGTGAGACCAAGACAGAGAAGAGGAGTTCGTAATCAGAATCGCGGTGGGCGCTCGATCGGTTCCTCGATGCGCTTTTTGTCAGAGGGTGATAGTAGCACGTGGTGGAAACTTGACGATCTCTGACAAGAGTCCTGCGCCGGATACAGGGAGTTACGTTTGTCAGTTAGCGAGTGAGAAGCGAGTGAGATCCATTCTTAACGAGTGCGCTCGCCAAAGTCGCCGACGACGAGGACCATGAAGAAATCCTACTTCGTCTTCGTGAGTATTAAGGCTTTTTATCGCGCTGCTCATTGCACCTGCTGCATAAAGCGTGATTATATGAAAAAGAGCTCTTACCGCTCTGGACCCGCTCACAATAATTTTTTTTTCCATTTTGTTCCGCGTTTTCTCTGATCGCTGTCACTTGGGAGGCGATGGGAAAGAGGTTGAACCTCCGAGGACTTAAACGCGTTTTATGCTCGTCCCGACTCTTGTTTGTTTCGCAAGGAAGATCAAAGAGCACAAGCATCACTTTAATCTGCCAATGGACGCGCTGTATCTTTCTCATTTCCCTTTGAGTGTCCGAACTTTTGAATGCGGTTTCTGGTGGTCTTCATGTCCTTTCGCTACGCGCACCGCTGTCGTTCTCTACGGTCCAAGAACGGTAAAATTAACGACGTGGCCACGTGACTCTCCCTCTTCCCATTCGGGGGTTGAAGGGGAACGAGGTCAGTCGGTGCACGCGAGCCGACCAATGTCGGTTTCCAGGCTTTTCGAAGCGCGCTGAGATATAGAGCTACATTGGCTGCAGCTAATTTTGCGAGAATCATTGATTTTACTTCGTTTGCATGTCCTTAAGATACTGTCATCTATTGATGCAACTTCAGGTATGGATGAGATTGAATTTCGGAATTAATATCGAGAATAAATTTTAGAAATTATATTTGCATAGGTATTATCGAGATAACGATCGCTGCTTTAAATTTGCTTTTTAAATAGATTAAAGAAATGGTCTGTGTTAGTTTTTATTTTATAAGAGATTATCAAAAGTTTTATAAAAAAATAAGAATTTCTAATAAAATCACATTTTTAAGCAAACATTTATTATACACTTATTCGTGAAAAGAATATTTAGCATTGAAATGTCATATTTGTAGAAGATATCGTGCAATTTTTTCAGATTATATAAATTGTTATTATTAATTTTACACGTTACAAACAATTCAAACATAATATACATATTTTTTTATTACATATGGAAAATAATTGCTATCATTTTGATAACATCAGTACAATAATTGAATATTAATATACGTAACAAAATATTAATATACGTAAATTGTAGTAGCATACATAATAAGAGAAACACATATGGCAGTTTTCTAGCGCGATAGCTACTTCCAGTAGAATTTGTCAAAAATATTGCTATTAAATAATCGCTACGCAACAAAAGTTTTTCGCGAAACGTACCGTATTTCGTGAATTTTGGGACATTCTTGTTTGATATAGCGAAAACTTTGTCGAAACTTACGAGCGAACTGCGTTGCGTACAATACAAACGAGGAGCTTCCGCGCTTCTTCAGCAACGTCTTGAAAGAACTCGAGAGAGTGCAGAACTAAAGTAAAGAAAGCAACGGCCATACACTCGGTCGTATTTTTGGCGTTCGTGAGTTTTAGAACGAAGGATTTATTTGGATATGTGATGCATCTATCGTTGAATGAATTTCATGAATCATGAATTTCTTTAAAAAACAGGTCAAATTTTTTAGTACAGCTTTTACTTTGATTTCTTACTTTTCAACAATAGATAACAAATATTTGATTTTTATTTGAATACTGCATAAGTTATTAAAACCAACCAACCAACACAGTTGCTTATTTCATATCAAAATATACACATATAAAATGTCCTAGCTTTTAACAGAACTTTTAACAAAATATATTTTTACAGTACAGAAACTGGTACTTTATATAAAACATTTTTATACTTTCAACAATATCCTATATATTGTTACGAAAAATATAACAAAGATCGACAGTAAATTCGGTAAATCATATAAAGAGAAATGTGTGTTTTCCGCTGTTTTCATTTTATTTTCATTTCTCACGGAAAAAAAGTAACTCCTTGCCTGCTTTTAAAGAAGTTCACGAATGTTCCGTAATTCTTGAATATTTTGCTCGCGTCTTCTGTATCTTTACAAGGATCTTTCCATCTAGTAGAAAATTCTCCAACCTGCTTCGAGACGCGAGTAAACTAGGGAAGGAAAGAAGGAAGCGGGTGCATGATCTTCACAAAGTACTATACATAGATTTCTTGTTCTGATCTGTTTCCTTTGTCGCTAAGATCACCTTTTCTCACCTGTCTAGAGAGATAGAGAAAGACCACGACTTCTCCACATATTTCGAGTGTGCTATTATCTGTCGATTTTACGCGACCACCCCTAGAGTATAGTTCTTGTCGTCCCGAGCCCATTGTCAGGCCTTGAGATCTATCGCGGTCCATTTTTGTCTGTGTTTCTGATCGTCCCTCTAGTTGTATACCTGCGGGGAACTTATAAAAGACCTATGACCAGTGCCACAAGCATGCTGTTGAGATCAGTTCAAGTCCACAAATTTTTGTAGATGAATAACGTTGAAAAAAAAAAAGTAAATATATGAATAAAGAGATATGATAATTATTTGAATATTTATTGGCGTATAATTGAAGAAGTAGAATGAAAAAAGATGTGAAAATTGTTTTGGCATTGCGTTACAGCAATATTGAATTATATTAAAAGCTTGTAATATATAAATTGTATATTAACTCAAGCAGCAAGTTAAATCTTCTCAACTATATAATGATTATAATATCTTTTAATTACCGCTGTTTTTTGCTTGAAAAATTTCGCATGGAAATATTATGTATAGAAGTATTTTATGCAGTGTTTTAGTTTCTCGAGTAGTTTCTCGATGAGGTATGATTTTTAACAATAGTAATTTCCAAGGCACTGAAGTACACAATTCGCAATTAGCGAACTGCGCCGCTGGTACAGGCTTAGAAGTTTAATATTTCCGTACGTGGAAACTCGTGTTAGTTCTAGAATTCGCGATTCCGAGGCAGACGATATATAAGAGGCGGTGAATATAACAAGTTAGGTAGTGCACGCTTGCGCGATACACTTCCGGCGCATTGAAAATAAAGCGCATTTACGTCTCCATGCAAAACGTTTGTTATATTTACTTGCCGTTCAGCAAAATAAATATGACAGAACAGATTTTTGTAAAATAACTAACATTTACATTGTATCGTAATAAAACGATTAATAGTTTCTGTCATAATTTTTGTTACGATAGAAAAATAAATTATAATAGAACAAATTGTATAATTTGATTTTCAAGACGATAATCTATGTACACTTTGTAGGATTTTCACATAAAATCATTTCTCATTTAAATACATTGATAAAATTTCCGGAAAATGTTCGATTTTTGTGATCGAATACGATTTGAAATAAAATACGTAAATCTATTTGACAAAAATTGCTCATTGAAATCCTAGCTTGTCTTTTCCAAAATGTCTTCCTTACAAACTCACGAAGAAATGAATTTCCATAAAGTTCCACAGCGCGTCAATGCCGCGAACTTTATGCATTTGGAAGATTACATCTTTTTGACGGAAACACGCGCGTCTGAAAAGAAAACACGGGCATTTTGCCGCATGGAAGAGTAGAGAGGGAGGATGTATTACGGAGACAAGACAAAAATGTACACCGATGAGTGTTCACCGCGGATTGAAAAGCTACTTTGCAAAACAACCGCTAGGAATATTTTTATATTTTATTGATTTATTCTATACGAATTCCACCAGATTTACAAGAGCAATCATAATTCTGTATAAAAGTGTTAAAAACTATATATGTAAATATTGACTCTACATTAATTAAAATGGACGGAAGGGGATAAAAAACAAAGTTATTATATCAAATTTAATTTCATTTAAAATTGTATTATTAGAGCTAATCTATTTCCGAGAAAAGATTATACCATTTTATTAATTATTTAAGCACTTCAAATTTATCACGAAAGAGAATATATATAATTGCGTTATTATTGTAATATTAATTGGCTTACAAAAATCTATTCTGCTTTATTTACTTTGTTGAACAGCGAATAAAAATAAGCATTATTGCAGGTTTTGTAATCAGGTTTTATCTTACGTATTATATATCCATGTATCAAACTCAATTTAAACATTACCGTCATCACAGAGTGTGAAATTGTTTACATTCCTTCGCCATATATATGGCTATTTAAGAAATCTCGTGCATGCAGATGTTAACGTGAGAAACGTATCCCTTCGCCTTCCGTGCATTCTTTGAAGCGTGCAGCGCGAAGGTCGATTATAATGGCGCGTTTTAAATGGCCCCCTGGACGAGACCGCAGACCAGGCGCGGGGAACGAGCAAGCCGCACGGAAGTGTTTATGATCTATAGGCGGAGCGCCTTGGAATTATGTACGAGGGAAGATTGTGCAAAGTGGATTAGTGGGATATTAGCGGCGGTCAAGCGTGCGGGCGCTTTCAAGATAAATACTTTGGCACGATATAGGCCCCCGTGTCGTGTTACAAAGCGCCCGGGAATCGTTAGCCGCGTCTGCACGTCGCGTGATTGAGTTCCGAGGTAACTTAGGTTCAGACGAGATATGCGTGGCAAAACGCCTCCAGACTCTTATTAGAAGCCGAAGAGGGAGGCATACCTTAACGCCTCGTTAATATCGTATTATCGCTTTAAGGATTTATCTCGGATTTCGATCGGCGATGGTGGATTAAGTCTACCTTGCTGACTGCGCGATTTGGAAATAGCATGGTTATTTTCGGTTACGGTCTTGAATATCGTGTGAGAGAAAACGAAAACAGATATGTACCTATATTTTTTATACGTAATTTCGCGAACATCATCCTCCTACATCGCTTATCTCCGTTTCAATTATGCTTCTTTTCGTGCACTCCTCACTTTATTCCTTTTAACACGCATACTCATTCGCTCTTAATACGTTTGTAAGTGCTTCTTCCGCTAATTCATATTCGTTTATCTGATTCTCTCTGATATTGTTCTGCCTTTTTTTTGCCCTTTACACTTTCTCTTCTTTCTGCGCAGTCAGCAACATTTTTAACGCGTAATAACATGTGCATATGTACGTTAGCGCGACTGCCTACATATATCTTGTATTTTACATATTTAAGGTTAGAGGCTAAAAGATATGCTCATTGAAATAACGAAACGAGGCACGCGAGATATAAT